ATATTGTTTTTCTCTTAATCAAGAAAGTATTTGACACTTCTAGTTCACTGGGCAGTAATTCAGTCTTCCCTGCGTTTTACTAACAACAAAACCAAATGAGCGAGAAGCCCTGTGTGACTTTTGGGTGCCACTTGCATAAAGTTGAAATTTGATGGTCAACAGTGACATACTCTCTTCAGGACTCTGCATCCACGACCACCATAGTAGAGGTCACTGTAGCAATTTGCTTTAAGTCTCTAATGTATTATCGGTCTTCTTTAGTCAGGATGACCCTGTGATGATCAACTCTAACTAAACTATACAATCTTATTGGAAAGGTGATAAGAGTTTTATTCTTTAAGACAATCTTTACTCGACTGTGTTCATTAAAATTGCTCAAATTACAGGTTAGTCAATGGATTATCCTAAAACTATAAAACAGGGAGTGTAAGATAGATGCATTGTGAAAGTGAGGCGCTTGTTAAAAGTGCACAGTTCGTGATTATTATTCAAACTCAAATGTAGGCAAATTCTGGTAGACTACTTTGTATGCCACCAGGTCCAAGTTGTGGCCATGCAGTTACAGCAGAGTAGCGACAAAAAGTGAGACACATGTGTAGAGATGTTGGCTTATACATTTGTATATAAAGCCTATGGCTAGTTTTGTTTGCATCACTATCCTCTTTGTAGCATCAGTCTGATACTCCACAACAATAGCCTCTCAGCAGTTTGTGGCTTTAACAATAATTTTTGGGGATGATCCACCAAGTACCAGAAGTACTGGTACTTGCTAATAAGAATTAAGGCAGCAGTTTAGATTCTCTAATGAGATTTTATGCAGAAGTAAGACTTTTATTTGTTATATTGTTCTTATTAAATTATGTAATAAATTTGGCTGTGAACTACTTCTTGGAGTTATTTTGGAATGGAAACTCACGTTACTTATAATAATGTTAGTTAATTAATTATTATACAGTCAAGCCTATACGGACACACCAAAGGGACAGAACCAAGTGTCCGCTTTACAGAGATGTCCGTATTATAGAGGTAGGGAATGTATGATTGTTGGCATTTCTGGGACCAAACGAACTGTCCGTATTAAAGAAGTGTCCATAAGAAGAGGTTTATTAGACTGTATAATTATTATGTTAATTTAATCATTTCAAGGAAAAAATTTTGAATTTTGACAAATTCTAAAAGGATTATTTAATAGGCCATTTCCGAGTTCCCCCGGGCCTCTGTTTCAAAACGAGGGTAGGTGCTTAGCGTTTGATATGGAAATCATTTTTCATTCTCATGCAAATAAAACTCATTTTCACAAGAAAGGTTGCGCACCCAGCCTCATTTTGAAAGTGAGGGTTTTTGGAACTCGGAAGTGGCCTTTTTAAATGGAAAAGTTACAGTTTTGGATATAAAAACTGTAGAAAATAGGAATACATTGTAAGGAGTCTCTTTTTTATTGTGAAAATATTTAATATACATATGTACATATTATATGAAAATGGAGAGAGAATTATTCTAATAAAATCTTTAATCCCAAAAATGCACCTAAATATGGCTCTGCTTGATTTGTGTGTATCAGCGAAAATGGGTCATATTGGATGCATGAAACGGTCCAGGGTTGTCTCACAAACGTCCACTTTTTTATATACCGGATAGAATGAACATAGGATTCGAAACTGGATGGTTAAGTAAAGTTAACACATTTAGGAAATCTAGTGAATAATTCACCGAAAGTGGAATCTGGGTGAACATGAAGGCTGCAGAAAGTAAACCGATCAAACTGAGTTTCCGCATTCATTCTTCCGGGAACTCAACGGATAATTGAGTATCCTCTGAATTTACGAGCTGCAGAAACATGACGGCAGTTAGCGTTTCCGCAAGAGTAAACCTGACGGAAACGCGAGTATAAGGGATGCGTTTAAGCGTCTCCGCAGAAACTGAAACATGACGTATACACTTGTTTCCCGCAACGGTTAGTTACAATTCCGTCTGCGGATATTCAGGTTTCCGTGAGGTAACCGTTACAAAAACGGAAACGGAAACACCTTTTTTCAACCTGTGTTCATACTAACAGATAGGAGAGTACTAAAATTACAGTTTGAAAATCTAAGGTTGTCAATTTACAGAAGGTGTTAAGCTTCTTCATCGAAGATGATTGGCTACAACTTTTCCATAATTTAACCACGAACGTGATTGCAAACTTAACGGGTAAATTAAAAAATGCAGTTCAAAGTACAAAGCAGAATTTAAAACAATAGTTGTTTGATTACAAAAACACCTATAAGACCACTAAGCCTAATTAAAGTTATCCACTGCCAAGAATTCGGTTAAAAACTCGAGGAGACACGCTTAAAACTCTTAAAAACAAGCAGGGTAGTCATTTCCTGGTAAATATCGAAGGGAGACCAGATTAAGGTCAAAAATGTCAACCTAGACAAAATACTTAATATAAACAAGGCTTTGTCATCTGCCAAAGGCTCTAATTACGGTAAACATATCTCATGAAACAGAAGTGTTACCGCGGAAAAACACCAAATTGGTACGTCTCCTTTGCACCGAACTCATGTCAGGAGAAACCTTCTATCGATCATCAATTAACTCAGAAACCAAACCTACTAGTAGTGAAGTGGCTTACTCAAACCAATCAACAAGAACGCTTACAACAACTCCACTATAAACATATATTGTAGCAATTGTCACAAGTGGCTAACGTAACTCTTCAATCGATATTAACAACAAGACCAAGGAGAATGAATCAACAGAAATCATTTTCTCATTTCGGGAGAGGATGTCGTTTGATCAGTGCTGATGCGTAGGAGTTAACACCAAGTAAAATGAGTCAAATTGCTTTTTATGATATTTTTCATTAACCTATAAATATTTCCCGAAACGAATGAATTTTGCAATAAATCCCAAACATCGAATAAAATTCCTTTAATAATTTTATGCACCAGTCAATGTAAACCACGGCCCCCCGACCCCCGGGACATAGCGGGGGATGTAACATTCCTACAGTGTTACATTTCGACTTTTACCCCGGCCCTCGGGGGAATCTGGACTAATACTATCCCCGCCCCTAGGGCCCCTAGTCAGCAAGGCCCGGAGGGCCTTGCCCTCTAGGGGGGTCTGGGGGCATGCCCCCCCCCCAGAAAATTTTGAAATATTATACTCTCAGAGACGCATTTTCCTGCATTCTGAAGCACTAAATGGTAAATACGAGACTTTTTGTCACTTTATTGGGTTTCCCTAAATAGAAAGCAAAACCAAAGGGCCGCTCAGTAGTCACCCTTTAGAAGGTTCATGGGGCTCTTGCCTCCACTTCAGAAGATTTCGACTCACATTTGTCAGTCCCACAAAAAACATCATGAATCAGTTCTGAAGATAATAATCAATGACTTAACGGTTATGTAACGATAATTTTCTGTATATTTTACAATAACTTTGCGCAAACTCTACGCAAACGTTTCGCGAACTCAAAGCCAACATCAAACATACACATACGGAGTACTACATGAAGTACTGGCTGAAATAAACAACTGCCCAGTAACTGAGCCTACTCCACGTTCACTTGACGTTCGCTGCTGCTTGCAACTTCATAAATAATGCTCAGGAGACATATTTGTTTGTTTCTGATCTCTGATATTTGTCATTTACATGTAATTTCTGTGCTTACTTTAAGTTCCCTAGTGATTGAGGGCGAGTAATTGGAAAAATTAAACAAACTGAACTGGACTGCCATGACACAGCCCCTTTAAGCCCCCTCAGTTAGGATCTTTGAGATCCAACAACGCGACGGCAACGACAACGTCGCTTAGAAAATTAATTTGTGTTATTTCAGTCTTTATCGCAATTAGTTTTAGACACTTACTTTGTCATATGTAGGCGAACTCTCCCGGAGTTAAATTCCTAGGGACCATATCCAAGTTCAGAGAGAAAATAAAATTTCGTTATTGCTTGTTTACGTACTCCATAAAACGTGAAATTAAGAATTTTCATGTTGTACTCGTACAAAAACGGGCAAAGAAATGTACGAAAAAGCGTGATGCATGTGTTGTTGTTTTGATCATAATTATATAAATTATAAAACCTATTGTTTTTTTTTAACGTTCTCGTTGCCGTCCGTGTTGTTGGATCTTAAAGTCCCTAGTGATGCAGCAGGGCGCCGCGCTTATGAAAAGTCTGTTATTGTCTTAAATGACAGAGGTGCTTAGCCTGCGTAGCAAGCGTCGAAAGGGTAGGGAATTGGGAGGAAGACAAAAAGGAAGGGGGGTTGTGATTTTCCCTTTCGCGCTTTTCTCTCTCACCCCCTCCCCTCCCCCTCCCCTTTTTTCGCCTGCCACACAGGCTAGAGGTGCTAATTAATTTGGGGGGTGGTTCCCCTCGGAGTAAATACGAAACTTCTAAGATTAAGAAATAAAAAAGATATAAACAAAAAATCAAAATAAACTTAAGTAATAATAAAATATACCCAAAAAAGATTACCTTTGCTTAAAAGCTTTGAAACGAAAATTTTCGGAGCGCGCTCTTAAAAGCCTTTCAGTACTATCTTCATGTACCACTTGGTTCTTAAAGGTAAACTAAACTAATTAACAATTTTAAAATACTATACAAACTAACTTAAGGTTAAGTATTTGGGGATGGGGGAACTTCAATAGGGGTTAATCTCGCTTTCAAAATTGGTCCTTGTTCTCCTCTTTTTTATGAATACAAGATCAGTTGAAAATAGCGCATTTGAAAACATCGTTGAAATTTTTTGGTGTAAATGAATTATTATTATTATCATTATCATTAGTAGTTTCTTTGGGCGTTGTTAGAGAGGAGAGTTAATTAATACCAGGTCCTAGTATGTTTAGAAAACGTATGATCCTCTTGCCTCCCATTATTGGGTGACAGAATTGTACTTTTCACATTGTTCAACCAAAACAATGGAGCATTCTTTGATTGGCTGTTGTGTATCTACCATCATTTGTTGTAGCGCCGGCAAAAGGTTTAATTCCTGAGCTTTCCTGAGGATAAACTTAGCCGTATCTTGCAAGTGCGACACTCCTTGCTACAGTTGCTTCCATTTCCTGACCCCTCTTTCCGCGACAGCGGCAAAAATGAAGTAAACCAACCCGCCAATTATCAATAATGCACCTCCCCCGATCAGAACACCAAAAACTGCAGGAAGAATCTGGCTGTTCCATGCCGTCCACGCTATGACTCCACCAAGGATCAGTCCTAGGACTGAAAAACAAAATCCAGGCACGTCTTCCGTGCGTCACAATGTTGTTTTTCATTGTCTCGGAGTATTGGTACCGCTCTTCAACAAGACTAGGATATACATTTGCTCGCGCTCCAATCTTTGTATGCCTGAAAGTATATTATCATTTATCAGTGGACTCATTCGGATAGATTGTTCCTCGTTCACATACGGACATCACATCGAATGGCCGAGAATGGAGTCAGATGAGTCATCGTTTACTAGTTTTTCGATGTTTCATTCTCTGGAAGGCTAAATTTTTGTTGGCTGGGAACCTTTCCCTGGAACAAAAGTTTACTTAATTGATTGACAACGCATATTGGCAAGTCATCAGATCAGACTCAGAAAAGCAAGTGAGAAAAGCTGGCAAATTTAAACCAAATGCACAGAAAGTTTATTATTTGAGTAGGATTACGTATATATGGGTAACAAATAATTGGGAACTGATTAAAATTACCCCGTAAGTTGTCATATAACTTTATCATCGAAAAATCTTTCAGTGTAGTTTAACCAGATTTTAAGCCTTCTTGGTCAGTCATCCAGAGCTGTTAAGATTTTTTGACGATTATTAATTTTCGACTTTTTCGTCATCAGCTTATATAGCAGCACCGCTGAAAATATCAAAGTGTAATAAAATCTGTGACCTCCTAATTACCCTTATAGATAAGCTTCCAGTCAACAGGTGGGGCATTCAAAGTCTTCTTAAAAGTTAATACCGCATGGCTGGTGTCCTTACCTTGCCAACAGAGTGCGAAACTTCTCTTCAAGCAGCTTGGCTCTTGTCAAAATTGTCTCAGCTTCTGATTTTTTCGGTTCACTTTCCGTCAACTGAGTGAAATATTCCATGGTTTCTTTTAATGTGGACAACGTCTCTTTTTCGAGATCTTCCCAGCCGGAACTAATTTTGTCGAGATCGTTTTTTATTCCTTCGTACGACAGATTTTCTTTGGATTCCAGATCTGTGAGTGCCTGGTATCCATTTGTAAAACATTCCATTATTTTATCGCAAACGTCGCAACAGGCCATGTTGTACCCCAGATGCACCTGTCGCCTATACATTTGAAACGACAGGAATGAAAAACAGGGATCGAAAATCCACGGGTTAGGACAAGAGAATCGTCAAGCATTTGCACTGATAACGTCAGTTTGAATTTGTGCAATTAATCTGCAAGTAGTATTCTCGACTCAGACCAACTTTGCTGACATCATAGCTTAAAAAGGAACAGTAACGGCATTATTTATCTTCAGTATCACTAATTTTCGCGAGACTTTATTTTCGTGAGTTTCGCGATTTAAGAAATTTTGCGAAATTAAAGTACCACGAAAGTTAAAGACGCGAAATTTATAGTGACCTATACTATATTTACATTTTTGGTCTGATAGGAGTATACACACGAGTAAAAGGGCTCAATTTTCGGTTCAACTTATGTCCTTACTCCTCATCATCTGAATCATCTTGCTGAATTAGTTCCTGTAACACTTCCTCAGCAGTCTTCAAATTTGCCATCAACAACAATTCCTCCCCTACCTCCGACAGAACTTGCTCATAAAAGAACCTTTTACCTAATTTACTTTCACCTCTGCGTAATTTATTGGCCATTTTGTTCCCTTTACAGAAGCAACTTTTCTTTTTACTGCTTTGCCTTGGACTTATGTCAGTTATGTTTCTTTATCAAAATCCTGATTGGTGCCTGGGATCCATCAAGCTTCTTAATCATCAGAGACATTATTTGGTTAGAGTCCAAGCTGGTGAGTTAATAGTTTAATCTATAGACGTATAGTTACTTTGAACTCCGCCATCCCTCCCTTTTATTGGACAGTAAGTCTTTTACATTGGAGGTAGGATTAGTCAACCTATGCAGGCAAGCTAACCCTTTTACAAGGGTCATTTTCCACCATGACAATGGTCACTTTTAGTGAGCGCCTTTAAATGCTTCTTTTATCTGTAGTCATCACGTCGTTTCTCACGGAAACGGCAAACTTCCTGATCATGGGCAGCCTCTGCTATGTATTGCTTTGGCCGTTGGCCGTTAGGTTTGCATCGCAAAGAGTAATATATGAGGTACATGTTACGTTGACGTCGGATACATTAAAAATCGGATGGTCATCCGCCCCTGCGAGTAGTTGCCTTTAGCTCATATAGTAAACCTTTGCATCGTAAATCTCAGTTTATCGACCCTTTCGCCAGAGAAAATCGTCAGTAACACATCAAACATCTTTCAAGCTTCAACAATGATTAATATGCTCTTGGCTTAATCACAGTGGTCTCCTTACGTTATTGAAATGATGCTTTAATTGTTTACTTCACTGTTTTTTTTTTCACTATTTAATTTTGTAGATAAAGCCAGAAACCCTGAGCAACTTACAATAAAAGGAGTCCACGACATGACAGAAGCAGAGATAAACCAACAAAGAACTTTGGATTTAAAGCAAAGGCTTCTTCTTCTATCACAAGAAGAGAGCCATTCCTCTCTCCCAGAAGAAATAATCTCAAAGCAGGATCAACAGGGCATAGATTCTTCTCAGTGTCAGTATGAAGGATTACATATTGAAACAAAGAAAGCTGTAAATATGAGTTGTGTGCCCTATAAGAGAAGTGACAAGGATTGCCATGAAGCCTTTAGTTACTTTGGGATGT